AAGCCAGACTCCAGCGATCTCCAAGGGATAACCCTAGTGGAACACCGTGAGCAACTGAACTCAGGACTCAGGAGCGTGCAATCAGGAAAGACCGGGACTAGAGCCATGTACGGCGCTAGGCAAATCTGCTGCAACAGATCCTGTGACTGTCGGCGGCAGGCAGGACCAGATCTGCCCAAAGAGCCCAGCTACCCGGTGTGGGGCTGGGTGGGAGCCTCAAACTCGCAGGCAGTAATCTTGTCAGGCTAAATTACATCAGCTATCTAATTTCTAATTCCAACACACGCAACCTTGCTACCAAATCAATATTCCCAAAACCTAATTTCATTTCTTTCCCCTGTTTTAAACTCTCTAATGTCCTCAAGACGAGATTTCTCTTGGGTTAGCATAGCCTAGCCTGACGGGATTCTACTCATAATGTAAGGTGTGAACAGTATGTGTGGACTGAGGTTATTCAAATTGCAACTTGGGCCCACCATTATCTGTGTGACATGTGGCTCGTGCTCGGTGTGGCAGGTTTGGTTCATCGTGGCTGGGTCAGGGGTTTCAGTGGTTTGGCAGTAATCGCCGTGATGCCACATAACACAATGTGTCAACTGCAGAACGGGAGCTGCTGTGGGCAGCCAATCAGTCGTAAGAAGATAAGGATGAAGGGCAAGTCTCTTCCTCAGATCACAGTCCTCACTGAGAGGAAGTTCGTTCGCTCAGGGATATGGCCTCATTTCTGTACAAGTGGACCCTGTGGGGAAGCTAGCTTACTTCTGGCTGAGTTGAGAACTTGCACCTGTCTCATAAACCTCTCGATCCTTGAACTGGAGCCAACAGCCCACCTTGCCTGCTGACCTGGAAGCCACCAGCAGCTTGCCACCTAACCTGTCAACTTGGATTCCTGGCACTCTATAGCCACAAGCCTTATTTGCTGACCATGGACACAGCCACCTCTACATGCACTACCCGGTAGTCTTCCTGGTTGTCTTCCTGCTTCCTGGTTCATCAGCCCCGACAGCTATTCAAACCAGAAGCAGCCTCCAGCTTACCACCTGACTTACAGACTTGAACCAGACTGGAGTTAGGTGCTTCTGCAATTATGTGAGCCTTTTTCGTGATGTAGAGTTCTCTTATATTCACAAGTGCCACTGGCTTGGCTCCTCTAGAGATCCCAGCTTACCATACTGAAACCACAGGACTATCAGGAAAATTAAACAAAAACCACTCCTTAGAATAATCAACATAAGCGATCAAAGGTCAGCATTTGCCAAGCAATAAAGCTCAGAAAGCAAGGAATAGAAGACCAAAATAAATAAATAAAATAAAAACAATGCCATCGAGTCAAAGCTCATAATCTTGGAAACCCACAGGGGGTCACTCTGTTTACAGATATAGAAAGCCCAGTCTTTGTCCCTCGGAGCTGCTGGTGGTTTTGAACCACCAGCCATACGGATCACGGTCCAACATGTAACCACTACACCACTAGGGCTCCTGCAGGAATGGACAGGCTAGAAAAATAAATGGTAATAGGGAAACTTGGGGGGAAGTGGGAAAAGTGCCATTACATTGTGGGGACTGCAATCAAGTTTCATTCAACGTCTACAATATGTATCCAAGGGGCTGGAATACAGGGGAAACAGGCCGCCTCAGTGCGCCCCCCCAAGCCCCTCCCCTGCTGGGGCTGGAGGAAAGACAGCTAGAGGAAGAGGTGTTTCAGGTGCCAAAGGAAACACGTCGCCGAGGGGAGGCAGTGAAGATGCTTAAAATGAGCTCTGAAAGTTGAGTGGGTGCATCTGGAAGTGGAATAGCATCCTGTGACTGGCATGGGGAGGGGAGCAGTAAGTGAAGTTGAGGCAGGGAAGAGTGAGTGGAGGGAAGGGGAGGGAAAGAAGAGGTCAGGGCATGGAACTCATGAAGGATCATCTGATCGTTATTTTGTGGGCAACAGGCTGCACTACCTATGAAGTAGGATGCTCCTGGTTGCATTCTAGGAAGGCTACACCTGTGCTGTCCAATTGAGCTCTTGAACTATGGCTGATGTGATGGAGAAGATTTTATTTTAATTACGTAGCTTAAAGCACATGATATTCAGTCACTGGTAAACAATGAGTTATGCCCGGAACAATTTGGGAACGTGAATCTGCTTTTTCAACTGTACATTGAATGAAAGCTAAACACAGATTAAATGTTTCTGAGGACAATTTAGCATCCAAATCAAGATAGGCTATAAGAGTGAAATACACACCAGATTTCATTTAGGTTAAACAGAACATTAAAATTAATTTTGCTTGTTTCTTTTTACTTTTTAAATGTGGCTATGAGAAAATGTAAAATGTGTCTTGCATTATATTTCTATTGGATAATGCTGGTCTAGACTGATCCTTCGACAGATCAGAAGCAAGAGACTAGAAGTACAAAGACCAGTGTGAGAATTATGCTTTGTGCCAACTTGATGGGGTCAGGATTCTCAGTGGTTTGGCAGTAGGGCCTAGTAATCACCCATGATTTTACATAACAACTCCATATGGAGTTGTGGGAGCCCATTATGGAATTATAAAGATGGAGTGCAACCCTCTTAACTCAAGTCACCACCCTCATGCAATTGAAAGGAAGTTTCCTCAGGGGTGGGGGTGGCCTGATTCCTATAGTTGGAGTCTGTGGGGAAGCTTGCTGGGTTCTTGCTATGTCTGACATCTGGCTCAGAGATGTCTGGATCTCTGGACTTGTGCCAACAGCCTGCCATACTGCCTGGTGATGCTGGGAGCTGTCAGCAGTCTGCCATCTGACCTGCTAACCTTGGATTCAACAAACTCTGCAGCCACAAGTCTGTGGTCTCCTGCTTCCTGGTTTGTCTCCCTGCTTCATCAGTTTGTCTTCCTGCTTCATCTGACCCACAGGACTGAATTTACTGACTTCTACAATGTGAGCCAATTTCTTGACAGAAATTTCTCTATATAAGTGTCACTGTTTTGCTTCTCTAGAGAACCAGGCCAAGGTTGAGACTCTTTGGAAAGTCCAGATGAGAGATAACCTGAATTATCTAAATGCTACTCACCTTCAAAACCTAGTTCTTCACAAGTCAATTCCAACTCATGAAGAGCCCCTATCCCAGCAGAACTGCCCCATGGAGCTTCCAATCTCTCTGGAAGGCTGCCCACCTCTCTCTTATGGAGGGTGGGTTTCATCTGCTGAACTTTCAGTTAGCGGCTAAGTGCTTATAACTACTATGCCAAGTCTCTTCCAAAAGGCTTTTCCACACATATCCATCCTGAAGAACTGCCTTATTTCCTGGGGCATGCTTTTTCTGTAGCACGCCTGGTCACTGTTCCAGTGAAGTATCCTATTCCATGAACAGGCCTGGGTAGACTGTACTGGACACAATCAAGCGCTGTGTCAGGATGGCACCGAAATTTAGAGCTTTTGCAAATTCCATCAAAGACCAAACAAACAAAACCCCGATTATCTTTGATCTCTACTGCCAGAGATACAATCTTTTTAACTTGGGCATGACACACTTGCATTCAAGGAAAAACACATGGCTTTAACATTTATCCCCCAATCAATCTTTCTAATATGTAACATATTCTCCAGATAGAGAGCCACATATCACCAAGTCTTCAGCTCAAGGTTTCCCCACCTAAATTATGGTAAGGTGAAAAAAACCCTTTTTTTTAAAAATGGAAAGGATTTAAAAATTAAAAATGTACTGTATCATGATTAATAAAGTCGTTGACCTAAAGCAGTGGTTCTCAACCTGTGGGTAGAGACCCCTTTGGGGGTCTAATGGCCTTTTCACAGGGGTTGCCTGATTCATAACAGTAGCAAAGTTACAAGTTATGAAGTAGCAACGAAAATAATTGGGGGGGGGGGTGGCACCACAATAGGAGGAACTGTATTAAAGGGTTGCTGCATTAGTTAGGTTGAGAACCACTGACCTTAAGTAACACTTAAGCATTCTGAGGGGGAAAAAAGGCCAATAGAATCCTTTAAAACACTCAACACTCCAGGTTTAACCACTGCAGACAATAAGCCAGTAGCAACTGGTTGAAAGCAAAGGTGTACTTACAGTTATTAGTACTGATCTTATGGGACCTTGTAGTTATTAGATTTTTGTTGTTTAAATTCGATATTTAAAAACACAAAGCTGAGAAGTTATTAGAAAGGTGTTACCATATCAGAAGTAGATCTCTCACCCATTTGTTTAAGGGCGACAAAGTCGATGTAACAAAGTGGAATTAAAGTGTCTACCGCCAAACAATCAAAGATGGAGTCCTGACAGCTAACAGAGAGAAATAAAGTGAGAAAGTCCTATTCTAAAAAGCCGAAAAAGACGTGTGGGGAACGTGTCAAACAGCCTGGATGAAATCAGGGCGCTAAAAGAAACCACTCGTTTCCTTTACACGGGGGTGGGAAAATCCCAGTTGCTCACAGAAAGGCTGAAAGTTTAGTTTGGCTGATTCCAGTCTGTTTTCCTTCCACAACCTCATCACTGGGTCTGAACGGCTGTTTTCCTCCCATCGGGCTCCCAAGTACAAACTCCCCCAAATGAATGGACTGGTCTTCCGGAGCAGCGCCCCCGCCCCCGCCTCGCTGCGGGATCCCCAATCGGGGGCAACTCGGCGGACAATGGAGCGGCGAAGCTCAGGCGGTCCATTTCCCTTTTCCTGCCCAGATGCTGTGGTCCCTCCTTCGCAGCGGAGTGGCCAAGCTCGACGGAGCCCCCGTCCGGGACGGGGTCGTGCTTCTCCCCACCGGCGGCGCTGCCGAGGTCCCAGCCCCCAGACAAGTTGAAGCGGCGCGCACGAGTCCAAAGGCGGCCCCCGCCGGCCGCTCGGGTGGAAGCGCAGGTAGGACCGGGACGGGGGTGTCTCGGAACGCTGGGTCATGGCTCGCCAGGCACAGCCGCCCCCACCGTGCCCTCCCAGCCTCAACTTGCTCCGCTCTCCCTTCAGTGAGGGGTGCGGGCAGCGGCGCGGCCACCCCCTCTCCTCTGGAGCCTCGCCAGCACTCACCCTTTCACCACAAAGAAGGGGTCCTCCATGGACATGGCGTCCCGGCCCCCGGCCGCTTCCCGCTTGCTCCCAGCCCGGGAGCCTTGCTGCTGGCCTTCCTTCGCGCCGCCCGCCGGCCTCCTGCAGCCGCCGGCGCCGCGGTCCGCAGGCTCGAGAGCAGCGAGCGGGCGCCCAGGCCGGTGCACGCGACGGCCGCGGCTGCAGCGCTCGGTCGGCGACTCGGGGCAAACCCCGGACTCCGGCGCCGGCCCCCGCGGCAGCCTCCGCCCCCGACTCCGCCCGGCGCGTCCGGCAGGCCTGACCCCGCCCCCGGGACCTTGTGTGGCGCCCAACCACAAACGCTGTCCGCAGCACCACTTCCGCACCCGTGCCCACGTGACCGGGACAAGCCCCGCCCTTCGCCCTAGGGGCCGGGGCCTGGTGTCACGTGACGCTGGGGGCGGGTGGCTTACAGCTCTCACTCGGGCTTGAGGGGGAGGGGATATTTGTTCCCAGCTGGAATGGCAGTCAGGTTTTCAGGACTGGCAATAGTGTACTGATCTGTACTGCGTTTTTACTTGTAATATTTGATTCTGAGAGGCAAAGCCATCTCATCCTCCACAAAGCGCGTTCTTATTCATTATCTGGCAATGATAATGCTACACGATTTGTTTAGGTAGGTTGTATCATGTGCCAGGCAATGTGTTAAAGACTGTGCACTGTCGTAATCATTCTGTGGCAAAGGTATTATGATTCCTATTCTGTAGATAGGAGTTCAGAGAGGTTTCAAGATTTGCTCTGTGCTCACACCTTGGTCAGATTGTGGGCACTAGCCCTAAGACTGGGCTGTATTTTTTGGTGCACATTCCGTAAATGAGTACACAAAGGAAATTTTTCAGACAGACATGGTACTGCCTAGGAACAAACACCTTTGAGGGACTAGCAAGTGGCCAGGTGTAGGGTAATTTGATTCAAGAGCTCTTTCATTTTGGCCAGAGCTACCAACTTCATATGGTAGATATGTTATGTGAGTTGTACATGAGAATTGTGGACTCTAAATCCTGATACTCACGAACCCTTACTGTGTGCCAAGCACTACCCTATTAGATCCCTTTACTTGTCCAAGAAGTAAAGGCTGTACTTGTCCAAGAGGTAAATGCTGTCCTATCCCGTTTTACAGATGAGAAAGTAGGGACACTGAGGTTAATGACTTACCTAGTCTCTTTGGCGATGACAATCTATGGAATCAAAACACCTGTGTTTGACTTGAGTTCTATCATTCAGTTCCTTGTTTGTAAAACACGACTAATACTAATTAGTTCTTCAGTTGTAGTTCAAATTAAATACGAATACTTACAAACCACAATCCCACCCCCACCCAAAGTGAGATCTTGAAGTCAGAGAAGCCAGTCAGGAAGCTGTTGTGCTCATCCGATCATGAAGAGATGAAGACCAAACTGTGAACGGAGAGGAAGGGGCCGAGTTCACAGAGGAAGGGGCCGAGTTCACAGACGTTTCAAGGGGAAAAGGGCAAGTAACTACATGTACAGAGATTGAACGGGGCCGGAGAGGAGAGGGGGTGGAAGACAGTGCTGAGAGTCAAAGATACCTCTAGATTTCTCCGAGACACTGAGGGCAGAAGTGGAAAAGGAAGCTATTGCGAAAGAACGGTTTGATTTGGTTACGGACATTGAAGTGAAGGTGAAACGGAGCATCATTCATTCATTCAGCAAACATGTGCATGTAGAGAGACAGGCACAGTGTGTTAAGACCCATACTTTATAGCAAGACTGCTGAGGTCAGATCATAATTCTTCTACCTCAGTGGTTCTCAACCTTTCTAATGCCTCGTTCCTTTAATACAGTTCCTCATGTTGTGGTGACCCCCCCAACCATACAATTATTTTCTTTGCTAATGTTATGAATTGTAATGTAAATATTTGATATGCAGGATGTACGTTCATTGTTACAAGTTGAACATAATTAAAACAGTGATTAGTCACAAAACAATATGTAATTATATATTGTTAAATATCTATGTGTTTTCTGATGGTCTTGGGCGACCCCTGTGAAAGGGTCTTTCGACCCCCAAAGGGGTCTCAACCCACAGGTCTAGAACCACTGTTCAACCTGGTTGTCCTATCTTGAGGAAGCTGATTAACCTCTTATTGTCTCCATTGAGAAACAGTAACTTTTTAAAAAGCGTGTCACGGGATGAAATATGTTGATGTTGCGGGCACGTGCTGAATTCATACTGTGTACCAGGCACTGAAGACAAAGATGAGGAGGCATCATGAACTTCTCAGGTGAGAGAGGCAGGCAGTTACATACAATGGGAAGAGGGCATAGGTTGACAGAGGAACACAGTAACAAGGGATTTGTAGTATTAAGTTAAATGGGAAGGGTGAGGTAAAGGGCCAGCCCCCACCGCTACTACTACCTATGGGTTCAGTAATGCACAATTGTATGGTTGAGATATATATATATTATATTAAAGTCATCGAGAGCATGAGAGATAAAAGAGATATTACAATGATGCAGTCAGACACATTACATAGTAGCATTGCTCACCTCCGCCCCGCTTGGTGGTCCTCGTGGGGGGAACCCGGCTACGAGAGCAGGGGCAGCCTCAGGGACTGGGGAGCCTCTCCTGGCCCGAGAGCCAGAGAGGGCCCCGGGAATCGGGGAGAGCCTCCTGGGCTCCAGGGAGAGCCCTCCTCTCTTTCTTGCTAACCACACATTCTATCACTTTAGGGGGATATGATTATAGAATCACACATCACAGGAAGGGGCAGTACAGTAGGCATACACATTGTAGGAAGGGGATGTATGATAGGCATAAGCGTAACAAGAAGGGATGAGCTAGGGGTGTGCCCATAGGAATGGGAAGGTCTAGGGGTATACATGTGACAAAATGGGCATATCCTAGATTCATGATTGCAGCCTAAGCTTGTTCATCCTTGGGTGGGTTTCACCTCGCTGGTGTCTCCTACAAGGAAACAGACAACTACTATCCTTATCAGAAGGGAGTGGGCCCTACTCGTTGTGGGATAAACAGTGGCGTCTGCTTGGTCTAGACAGCTGATAACTCTCAGGGAGAATGACCGCCAATCCACTCCTGATGACCTCCAAGTGTATAGTCATTCTCAAGCAGCTAAGTCTGGCATATATTTGGGGGAGACAACTTGAGAGAAATTCTTCTGTTTCCCACAGGGATTATTGAAGGAGGTAGGTGGGAAAGCTTCCTAAACAACAGCTAGGGGCAACCCTGAGAAAAGAAAGTCATTCCAAATGTGGACTAGAATGGCAGCCTGAGGGGACACAAGGTAGCGGTGTTGCTAGAATGGAAAGGATGGAGTAATAGAGGCAGGAAGGGAAGCAAGCTAGACAGGAAATTTTTGAGGTCTTTGATTGTGGTGGAGTCCCTGTGTAGGGAAATGGTTACTGCACTTGGCTGCCTACTAAGGTTGGAGTCTACTTTGGAAGAAAGGCCTGGTGGTTTATTTCTGACATATCAGCCATTGTCTTCCTAGCAACTGAGTTTTGAATGTGACAGGCAGGTTAGCTAGAAGGTCACGATCCACAGGAGGGATGAGGGATGCCCTGAGCTAGGTTCACAGCAACTAGGGCGGAGCAGAGAAGTACATTTGAGAAACACTGTAGAGGTGACAAGCACGGGCTTGGTGACTGACAGGGCTGAGCCTCTGGAGGACTTGGTGAAGAAGAAGAGGAAGGGAGAAGGCTTGCAGGGTTGAGTTGTTAGTTCCACTCACCAAGAGAAAGAACCCAGGAGGAGGATTAGATTTCAGGTGGATATAACTTAGGTGCTGTGGAGGTAGGTTACGAGTAGAATCGCATTGCTAAACACGAAGTCGGCGGTTCAGGCTCCCCCTTGGAAAGCATGAAGTTTTCTACTCCTATGAAGATCGACATCTCGGAAACCCCCGGGGGCAGCTCTGCTCTCTCCTGCGAGGTTGCTGTGAGTTGGAATCATTGGATGACAGTGAGAGTTTTGTTAGCATGTTGGTCTAACTCACTAAACTGCAAGCGCCTGGAGGGAGGGGATACTATGCTAATGCGGCTATCACCTCAACACTAGGATACTCTCTTATGTGTTCCATGAATTTGTTAATTGGACCAGAAATGAGAGGATGGAGTTTTAAAGTAGGAAAATGGACTTTGGACATGTTAGGAGAGACCAGTCCTTGGAGAAGGACAACATGGCTGGTAAACTAGAGGAGCAGCGAAAAAGGGGAAGACCTTTGACGAGATGGGCTGGCACAGTGGCTGCAACAACGGGCTCCCACGCAGAAACAATTGTGAGGATGCACAGGACTAGACAGTGTTTGCCTCTGTTGGACAGAGGGTGGCTGTGGGTCAGAATTGATTCGATGGTACCTCGCTCAACACACCAGAAAAATGGATGATTAAGGAGAATGTGCATAATGAAGGGTCTAGGGAAACCGCCCACAATTGAGACGATGAGCATTTGGATATAAAGTGTACTACTGCTTGGGGTTGCAGGGCAGTGTCCCCTTGTTTAGTACGCTACCCTCCCTCGTCCTTTTTCATACTCGGCCTTGTCCTCCATTGACCCAGGGAAAGGGAAGCTAGAACCAATGCAAGGCGAAACAAAGGAAGTTCCCTCTTGTTTTTCAGTTTGGCGGATCCGAGGCCCTAGTATCAGCAATAGCTTAGGAAGAATACTCCGAGGGGGAGGAAAAAAACAACCCCATCCCATACCAGGGATCCTCAAAAACAGCGGGGTGGGGGCTACACGTTCTCATAGGTAGAGAATCGAAACAGTGATTTCCTGGAAGGAAGGAAGGAAGGAAGGAAGGAAGGAAGGAAGGAAGGAAGGAAGGAAGGAAGGAAGGGGACTTGATTAGGGAGGGAAACTCTGAGATGATGCAGATGTCCTGTAACTGGACTCGAGGGTCAGTTACGCGGGTTTATGTGCTTGTCAAGCTGTTACACTTACCTTCTGTTCATTTTGCTGTAGGACATCGACGTGGCAACTCTGAGTTTTCGGTAGTGGCCTGAGAAAGTCCCAGAAGATGCTGTGGTCTCTGAGGCTCCAAAGTAAGGCAAGCAAGAGATAGAGGGAGCGTGCTGGGTCCTGTAGAGTATCTTGTACTGAAGTTATAGGATGAGGATGCAGAGACAA